GCCTTTATGTCTGATCTTGTTGTGTTATGAACCCTCATATACATACTGTCTATGTTTTCTCTGAATCAGATGTGCCCTACCTATGGTATTGTCTGTGACTGCACTGTGGTAATGATACTTTTATACATGTATTTCTGTTTTTGAATCAAAATTCATTCAATAAAATTATTGGAAAATAAATTTCTAGATCAGGGATCTCCAAACTTTTGAAACAAAGGGACAGTTTATTGCCATTCAAACTTTAGAAAGGGGGGGGCTGGACGAGTAGCCAGTGGAGTAGAAAATGCCCTGGCATAGGTGGAAGTAAACAATGCTATAGGCTTGGTGACCATTGAGAGTAAAACGATTACATAATTGGTGTCAGTGGGAAGAATAGTGCCCCATCTTTGGTGTCAGTGTGAGGAATAGTGCCCCATCATTGGTGTCAATGTGACAATTAGCTCCCCATCTCTGGTGTCAGTAGGAGGAATAGTAACCCATTGTCGGTGTCAGCGGGAGGAATAATGCCCCATCTTTGGCGTCATTGAAAAGAATAGTGCCCCATAATTAGTGTCAGTGGGAAAATTAGTTCTCTGGTGTCAGTGGGAGGAACAGTGCCTCATATTTGATATTAGTGGGAGAATCAGTTCTCCATCTTTGGTGTCAGTGGAAGGAATAGTACCCCAAGGGCTGGATTAAGGTAAGCAATCCACCCGTGGGCCGCAGTTTGGAGACCCCTGCTCTAGATGGAAAAAAGGCCTGTACAGAAAAAGGGCACAGCAGAGAAGAGAGATAGATACATATGATGTATTGTTCCTATATATGTTGGTTTATTAGCACTTTAAGACTTCAGTCCTGCTGTCACATTCACATCAGCCATGCTGCCAGAGGAGAGTCTGTTTCGTTGTTATTAATGTAATTCAGTTAACTGACAGAACTGAATCAACAAACTGGGTCAAACCCAGTAGCAAACAAATCCAAACAGGCAGACGAGACAAGGTCGTTACACAGACACAAGGTCATGGCGGGCAGCAATTAGTGGAATTCACAATAGCCAGCAATACAATCTCAGTCAAGTGCTGGCATCTGGATCAGAAGAACTTCAAACCCATCACAAACCTCAACTGGGCGCTTTACTATGATGGCAAGCATCAAACCCACAGAACAGGTGACCCGGGAGATTGTGCATAACCAATACTGATGTCATCCATTGGCCTCTGCTCATTTTTTAACCTACTACATATATATATATATACATTTTAACGTTTCTGCACTGTTATACACACACACACATATATACAGTCATGGCCGATATTGGGGTTGTTGCATGTGTCACCATATGGATGAATAATGTTTTCCTGAAAATATTTTAAAAATAGTCCCAATTATAACACATAAAAAGGTACAATTTTGGCCATATTCAATAATTTCATGTTTTGCTATACATATGTATTATTCCCTTTGTATGTATTGGAGAGAAATAGAAACAGAGAGAGCAGAAGAGAGCAAAGAGACAGACAGACAGAGCCAGAGAAAGACACAGAAAACAGACAAAAATGGGCTGGACAGAAAGTATTGGCACCCCAACTTAATAGAAAGAGAGAGGTTGCAGACCCTTTGAGAAAACATAACTGAAATCAGACAGCTTCCGATAACCAGATATAAGCTTCTGACACCTCTCACCCGGAATTTAAACCAATATCTTCCTTTAAAACAGCTCAGGTCTCTTTATTGGAAGGACACCTTTTAAACATTATTGCAAGCAATTTTAAGATGCACTCCAAATGGTGTTAAATGGGATTTAGATCTGGGCTTTTTGCTGGCCACTTCAGAATGTTTCTAAAAGCGCTTCAACTTTTGCCATCCCATTTCTGAGTGCTTTTTGACGTATGTTTGGGGGTCATTTATTGTCCTGCTGGATAATGACCAAAAGGATCTTGGACGCAAATTTGGGGAGCTTTCTGACACTGGGCCCTACAGTGCGACCCATGAAATTCCTTTGGTAATCCTTTTTTCATGATGCCTTGCACCCATAAACAGTCAAGGCACCCAGTGCCAGAGGCAGCAAAACTGCACCCCATTGAAACATCACTTGAACCTCCACCATATTTTGTCACATGGTACTGTGTTTTGTTCTTTGTAGTGGCTGTCATTCCGTTTTCACGTAAACAAGTAGAATGATGTGTTTACTACTAAAGAATCATCTTGGTCTCACATCTGTCCACAAGACGTTTTACAGAGGCTTTTGGCTTATGCTCAAGAGACATTTTGGCAAATGTAGTCTTGCTTTTTTATGTCTCTCATGTGTCAGCTCAGTGGGGTCCATTCATCCATGGGTCTCCTGCCAAGAGCGTTTCATTTCATTTAAATGTCGACGGATAGTTCGCGCTGACACATGATGCTCCCTGAGCCTGCAGGACAGCTTGAATGTCTTTGGAACATGTTTGGGGGTGCTTATCCACCATCCGGACTATTCTGCGTTGCAATCTTTCATCAATTTTCCTCATCCGTCCACGACCAGGGAGATTAGCTACAGTGCCATGGGTTGCAAACTTCTTGATAATGTTGCGCACTGTGGACAAAGGCAAATCATAGTTCTCTGGAGATGGACTTGTAACTTGAGATTGTTGATATTTTGCCACAATTTTGGTTCTCAGGTCCTCAGACAGTTCTCGTCTCCTCTTTCTGTTGTCCATGCTTAGTGTGGCACAGACAGACACACAATGCAAAGGTTAAGTGAACGTCTCTCCTTTTTATCTGCTTTCAGGTGTGATTTTCTATATTGCCCCACACCTGTTACTTGCCCCAGGTGAGTTTACTAGGAGCATCACATGCTTGTAAATTCTTATTTATCCGCAGTTGTGAAAGGGTGCCAATACTTTTGTCCAGCCCTTTTTGGAGGTTTGTGTGACATTATGTCGAATTTGCTTTCTTTCCTCCCTTTTTTTTGTTTTGTCCCAATACACATCAAAGGGAATAAACATGTGTTATAGCAAAACATGTGTTAATGCAATACGTTTCGTGAGAAATACATGATTTCCTGGAGAAATATATCAAGGGTGCCAACAATTTCGGCCATGACTGTATATATATATATATATATTATAATATATTGGGGTTGGTATAGCAATAGTGTCCCATATGGAAGAATAATGTATTTGAAATATATTTTAAAAATATTCTTCCCAATTAAATGAGGACATATATTTGAAATACTACAATTTTGGCCATATTCAATATATTTCATATATATATATATATATTATATATATATAGAGAGAAGAGAGAGAGAGAGAGAGAGAGAGAGAGAGAGAGAGAGAGAGAGACAGACAGACAGACAGACAGACAGACAGACAGACAGAAGATAGATAGATACTGCATGTTGAAATGCGTTTTTTTTATATATTACAAAATATATGAAAAATATTTTTTAAAAATATATATTTTTTAAATATATTCTTCAGATTTTTTTAACATAAAAAAGTCATTTTAACATATATTTTACATATATTTGTAAATGCACTCCAAAAATGTAGATTTGTATTTTTAAAAACATACAGTATATTTGAAATTTTTTTAAAAAATATTTTTCATATATTTTGTAATAAAACCGCATTTCAACTTACAGTTTATATATATATATATATATATTTATATGTATGTGTGTATATTTATTGAAATATATTTGAAATATATTGAATATGGCCAAAATTGTAGTATTTTAAATATATGTCAATAAATTTGGGAGGAATATTTTTTAATATTACTGTGCTACTTGTGGGGGGTGATGAAGATTTTTTTGTTCTTTTTTTACACTGATTACTTTTACACCCATAAAAGCTGTAAAAGCAATCATTTCGCCTTCTCTCTGGCTGCATTCCTGCAGCCATTGAGAAAATACTGTGCAAGCTGTGATTGGTCACAGCTTGTCACATGGTACAAGGCTGTTATGAATAGCCTTGTACCATGTGACCTCTGTGATCATTCACAGATTTCACACGTAGTAAGCAATGATTTCAGAAAGTGACATCTTGTTTACTACTATTCATGTAATCACTGATTGGCCAATCAGTGATCACATGAATAGGGACCTCACACAGAGGTCCCGTACAGAGATCTGTGCCGCATGCTCCCAGGGAGCGCGCACAGGCAATGGGTGCGGGGAAATGTTTAGAAATGTCTACCCACATCGGCAGCGCTCCCGTCCGTCCATTCATCGGCATGGGTCGGATGGGAAGAGGTTAAAGCAAGTTCCTTTTCTCTTGCAGGTTCTCCTCACCTGCACACACAGTTTGTGCTGTCTCATGCACACAAACACATTTCATGTAATAAATGAACTCACTTTTTGCAGAGATCTCCAGTTCTGCCCGCATCCTCCACCACTTGTAATGTTTCGTGTTGTATAGCTCAAGTGCAACACCTGCTATCGAGTACAGTCCATGCCAAATGTTTTGAATTAAGGGCTTGTTTGCCCACTTTTATTTAAAGCAAAGGTCACACAAAGTTCCATAAAGCATAATTCATGGTTTCCCCGCATAGGGGGTCTTCCCAATTAACACAAAACATGAACAGGTAAATACAGGGTTGAAATATATAGAAGAGCCGTTTTACTTGCCAAATGATTTCTTACTGCGTTCAGTCAGATTCAGACAGACACCTGCTAGACAACAAAGCCAGGTCAGTGACCTTACTTTTTTTCTGCAGTTAAACATTACAGTTTGGTTACCAAGCTGCCCTTTGAATGGAGAATGCAAATGAAATAACACACTGAAGAGGTCATCACTCTGCTCCTGCTTTCTGAAAGCAAAGTACAAAGCAACAGCATACTTAGGAATATCTTCGTACAAGGTCCTGGGTCACTGTCATCCCTGCCAATGTCCCACACTTGATAGGCACACCTTTTGGCCCTGCCCAGATCCCACACACTTTCCGGACATCCCACCGAGATCACACCTACTTTCTGGGCAGCCCAGCTCTTAATTATGCAAAATGTACAATCCCTAAACATTGTGGTATTACACACATTTTATCACAAAATCATAATGTCAGGAGCATTCTTCTACTTGAGCACCAAGCTAAGGGCCATTCTTCCCACTAGGCACCAATGTAGGGGACCATCACCCCACTGACCACCAATGTAAGGAACTTTCTTCCTACTAACCACCAATGTGAGGGGCATTCTTCTCACTGTCCACCAATGTAAGAGACATTCTTCCCACTGACCACCAATGTAAGGAATGTTCTTCACACTGTCCTCCAATGTAAGGGACATTCTTCCCACTGACCACCAATGTAAGGAACATTCTTCACACTGTCCTTCAAAGTAAGGGACATTATTCCCACTGACCATCAATGTGAGGCACATTCTTCACACTGTCCTACCAATGTAAGAAACATTCTTTACACTGTCCTTCAATGTGAGGGATATTCTTCCCACTGACCACGAATGTAAGGGACATTCTTCCCACTGACCACCAATGTAAGAAACATTCTTCACACTGTCCTTCAATGTAAGGGGCATTCTTCCCAATGACCCCCCCCCCCCCAATGTAAGGAACATTCTTCACACTGACCTCCAATGGAAGGGACACGCTTTCCACTGACCCCCCCCAATGTAAGGAACATTCTTTACACTGTACTCCAATGTAAGGGACATTCTTCCCACTGACCACCAATGTACGGAACATTCTTCACACTGTCCTCCAATGGAAGGGACATACTTTCCACTGACCCCCCAATGTAAGGTACATTCTTTACACTGTACTCCAATGTAAGAGACATTCTTCCCACTGACCACCAATGTAAGGGACTTTGTTCCCACTGACCACCAATGTAATGAACATTCTACCCGCTTACCATTGACACAGATGAATACATTTTATCAGGGGTTCCCTGAGGCCTGAAAATCATTTTGACGGTTCCTCCGGTATAAAATAATTGATAGAGGCTGTTGTATTCAAAGCAGCTGAGGGCTTTCCAGACATCCCACCAAGATCACACCTACTTTCTGGGCAGCCCAGTTCTTGATTATGCCAAATGTGCAATCCCTAAACTTTGTGGTATTACACACATTTTATCACAAAATCATTACCACTGTAAGGAGCATTCTCTTGGACTGTAAGGAGCATTCTCCTACTTGAGCACCAACCTAAAGGGCATTCTTCCTACTGAGCACCAATGTAAGGGATTATCTTCCCACTGACCACCAATGTAAGGAACTTTCTTCCATTAACCACCAATGTGAGGGGCATTCTTCCCACTGTCCACCATTGTAAGGGACATTTTTCCCACTGTCCACCAATGTAAGGGACATTCTTTCCACTGACCACCAATGTAAGGGACATTCTTTCCACTGACCACCAATGTAAGGGACAATCTTCCCACTAACCACCAATGTAAGGGACAATCTTCCCACTAACCACCAATGTAATGAGCATTCTTTCCACTGACCACCAATGTAAGGGAATTTCTTCCCACTGACCACCAATGTAAGGGACTTTCTTCCCACTGACCACCAATGTAAGGGAAAATCTTCCCACTAACCACCAATGTAATGAGCATTCTTCCCACTGACCACCAATGTAAGGGACTTTCTTCCCACTGACCACCAATGTAATGAACATTCTACCCACTGATCACTGACACAGATGAATTAATTTTATCAGGGGCTTCCTGAGGCCTGAAAATCATTTTGAGGGTTCCTCCGGTATAAAATAATTGATAGAGGCTGTTCTATTCAAAGTAGCTGAAGGCTTTTTTTATGTTAGAAACAGACTGAAGTAACTGACATTAGGAATACAGAGAACCATTGCAGTATGTCTTTATTTTAACCCCCAAATAAGCAAATGCACAGAAATCAAACCAACTGGTACCTTCGGGTACAGAAAATAATAAATATAATATACTTTGCCTATCTTGTGTTTTGATAAAGTGAAAACTGTACTGCATGAAATCTAGTTATTCAGATAGCTGTCAGCTTGGGTGGAGGACAGATTAGATATTTGTAACTTTATATGGGCTCCCTGGATGAGGCTAGAACCAACCAATATTCAGCAGTCTAACGTACTTTAATATCTCTGCATTATTGGGTGTTTATTTCTTAGTCATGTTAGGTATTGTTTTTTCTGCGCTGTCTTCTACTCCATACATCCTGATGGCATGATGACCTTTTCGAAGCCAGGACACAAACTACCAACCAGTCCGGTTTTACGTTACATTTTATCTAGCAATTAATGAAGGTCGATTGCTTACTGTGAGTAAAAGTTTTAATTTTGTGCTCATTTTTTTCCAATACTTTTCATGAGCCAATTTCAATATGTCTTTTCCAAATCTCATGAATATTATTACATACTTTATGTTTATGTAAACCCAATCAATGCAACCTTTAATATCTTATTGCAGTTGCAAAAGTGATTTTTCAATCATTTCAAATCTGTAGCCTTCATTCAAATAATATCTGGGGATCCTTTCATTAAGGTACTTGTTTAGAAACTTCCTGTCTAGCTCAGCATCACTGAGATGCAACAATAGATGATAAAAACATTAACACTGTGTTAAAAACATGATAATTGAGGGGATGTAGCAAGGTAGGCTCGGAATAAATAAAATAAATAAATAAAAATAAAAGCGCAGGGTCGACATGACTAGGGGGAATAGAGGGACAACAGAGGGTTAAATTATGGGAAGGAAGTATTGGGGATTAAGGCTTACCTAATTGGATGGGGATGTTGGGGAGGGTCTCCCAGGGAGAAAAAGAAGGGTCTGTCCTCAGGAAGTCCAGTGGGGGAAGTTTGAAAGAAGAAGAAGCTTCCTACCCTCCCTCCCCTTCGTGCTTTGGTTTGGCTTGTCACGGTGGCCTTGGCGGTGGTTGGTCTGTGGAGGAGGAAAGAATTCTGTATGGAGACAGATTCGGGACCCATCAGTGGTATTGGGACCTCGGTACATTCCAGGTAACAAGGAGTTAACTCGGAATAGGTAAAATGGTGGTCACTGCGGATACGTAGGGTTATCCCCGAGCCGGTGTGCTGCAGCTGGGGATAAGTAGGATTGTCCCCGAGCCGGTGGGTTGCGGCTGGGGGCCTAAATTGAAAGAATGTTTTCCGCAAAACTGAAGTTGGGTTTATGGCCCTCAAAAGACCACCACATTTTCATCTGTTTATAATTTGGAATGTTATGTTATCTATGTTAAAATAATTTATTGGTTAATAAAAGGCTGCTATGGCCATTTTGACTCCAGAAACTTGTTTGTGTATTTAGTACAGCTGGGGTGGTGGAGGGTATGGCCTAGCAGGCTTAGTTAGGTTGCAAGGCGTATATTCTACCCTTGTCAAGTAGCAATAGCATCAAGTAAATGCATGGGGCCCAGACTTTTGTTACATTTTGGAATAGTATTTTGCAGTCGGACTGTAAGGCTATCCATTTTGTAGACAAATTCCACTCTATTAGTCTTCCTGCACACTGGATGTTTTTACAGCGGCTGTTTTTGGCTTTTGGTGTTTTTTTCTACAGCCATTGAACTCCCCAGCATGTTACCCTATGTGTCCATGCACACATAGGCTTTAATCAGCGTTTTGTGGGTGGAAACCCCCCAGAACTAGTGGGTTTCTAGAGGAGTTGTTTAGTTGTAAAAACATTCTAACTTTGGTAAACGTGGTAAAATGCAGTAAAGCGCAGCAAACCGGCGCTTTTGAGTGTTTTTTTTAGCCAAAATTGTATTTATTTAAAAAAAAAACACACTAAAAACCACAAATGAGAAAAAAACTTGGCTAAACGCTAATGCAAAAATGCTAACAATTGAGGAAAAACTTGTGTTTTTTTTTTTTTAAATCTTTTTTTATTTTAAACATATTAAGTTGGTGAAAATATACAGAGTACAAACAACAGATGCCCTCGTAGGGGCAGGGTCAAAGCCCAACAGATTGAAACATAAAAACGAACTAAAGGTACAAAACAACTCAAAACAACCCAAAGGAGAAAAAACAGAGGGGGAGGGGGGACTTCACATGATAATCAAAGCCTAATCATTTGTAGATGAAATTCCAGAACCATAGCAGATAAGAGGGAACCCAGCTCAAGACAGAGAACAAAGCACCTAGGTGACTACCCATTAATCAATTACCCACATCATCTGCCACATTGGCGGTAGAGACAACATCAAGCCAACATGACCAAATTTTATCAAATTTATGGGGGTATCCTCAGTTAGAATAAGTAGTCTGATAAAGGGGAAAATTAGAATTCAAAAACTCGTGTTTTTAACGTTCGTTTATACAGCTATTGCTACTGGCATTTTTAAAATGCCCAGTGTGCATGAGGACTTAAAGATGGTGTGACGATCTGGTCGACCTGTTGTTTCCAGTGTAATCAAGCATTTTTATTTACTCTTTTCCAGATTAAAGTGTTTGCTTTTCTGTCCGATAATGCACCACTTTGCCCAGAAAATTGTTGCAAATTACAAGTGTTTAGGCATTCTCATTTTTATTTCTTTTGTTTGTATTGGGATGACACAAAAAAGAGGAGAAACAAAAAGCCAAATCTGACACATTCCACCCAAAACCCCCAAAATGGACTGGACAAAATTATTGGCACCTTCAATTTAATATTTGGTTTCACATCCCTTGGAAAAAAATAACTGAAATCAATCGCTTCCTGTAAGCATCAATAAGTTTCTTCCACCTCTCTACTGGAATTTTGGAGCGCTCTTCTTTCGCCAACTGCTTCAGGACTCTCAGATTGGAAGGGTTCCTTTTCCCAACTGCTGTTTTCAGATCTCTCCACAGGTGCTCAATGGGATTGAGATCTGGACTCGTTGCTGGCCAGTTCAGTACTCTACAGCTATTTGTCTGAAACCATTTCTGGGTGCTTTTTGACGTGTGCTTTGGGTCATTGTCCTACTGTAAGACCCATGACCTCTGACTAACACTCAGCTTTCTCACACTGGGCCTTACATTGCACCCCAGAATTCTCTGGTAGTCTTCAGATTTCATAATGCCATGCACATGGCAAAGACATCCAGTGCCTAAAGCAGGAAAGCAACCCCAAAACATCAGCGACCCTCCACCATGTTTGACTGTAGGGACTGTATTCTTTTCTTTAAAGGCCTCATTGCTTTTTCTGAAAACAGTAGAATGATGGGCTGTACCAAAAAGCTTGAATTTGTCTGGAAGTTGGTAGAGCTTCTTTATCCACCATTCCAACAATTCTTCACTGCTATCTTTGATCAATTTTTCTCTTTTGTCCACGTCCATGGAGATTAGCTACAGTGCCATGAGCTATAAACTTTTTGACAATTTTGTGCTCAGTGTACACTGGAACATTAGGATCTCTGGAGATTCACTTGTAATCTTGAGATTGTCCATGATTTTCAACAATTTTTGTTCTCAAATCCTCAGACAATTCTTTGCTGTTCTTCCTCTTCTCCATGCTCCATGTGGCGCACACAGATGCACAACAGAAAGGAGGAGACCATTTTTCCCCATTTTAACTGGTTGCCAATGTGATTTCTATATTACCAGCACCTGGTCATTGATACAGGTGAGTTTAGTTGCAAATTACAGGAGCATCACAAACTTGAAATGCAATTATTTCTTACAATTTTGAGAAGGTGCCAATATTTTTGTTCAGTCCATTTTTGGGGTTTTCCGTGGAAACTCTACATGATTTGCAGGTGTGACATGTGATATGTTTCATGTTGACAGCAGAAGTGATGTAACATTCTTTTGTTTCTGCTGTGTGATGAGACACCTAGCTAAAAGAGACAAAAGGTTATTGCGCAGGATTGTGACCCGGAATAAGAAAACAACTGCTGAAAAAGTGACTGCAGAGCTGAATCTCAGTCTTCACTGGACGTTTTCCTGGAAACTGTATACGCTGTCATACCTTTGATACTGTACTTCTCTACTCGGCAAATAAATTTACAACTTGAGTCACAGAGGCACCAGATAGGCTGCCACCAACAATTTGCCCTCTTTGAAGCTCATATCTCCATATTACTAGTAGCGCATGCAGTGAATGATGAAAGTGAGGCTTCCCACCTGTTTGCTAGGTGTTTCATCACAAAGCGTCAGAAGCAAAAGAATGTTACATCACATCCACTTTCAACATGAAACATGTTGTCACTTTCACACCTTGTGATCATGTAGTGGTTCTATTTTGTTTGTCTAAACCCTGATATATATATATATCTATATATATCATGTAGTGGTTCTATTTTGTTTGTCTAAACCCTGATATATATATATATCTATATATAGATATTGTTCGGGTTTCACTCGAGTGTAATGCTTTCCATCAGGATTTTCAACACCAGAACATACATTTTCCAGTCTCCTATACAGATTTCATAGTCCCTCTCGGTACAGTACTCACTTGTCACTTTCCAATTCAGCTTTACAACCAATGAAACACCCACCTGGGCTGCACAGGCTCCTACCTAAAGACACACCATCTCCTACTGCCTCTCAGCGCAATGACCTGGCCACCTCTCCTTGAGGTCAGGGTAGACAATCTCCTAATGTCTTTCATACACATACTGCTCCTGTGGCAGCCTGTCTCCAGGGGAAAGGAGCCCTGAATCGCAGCCAGCCCCTTGATTAAAAAGGTAGTGTACACTATCAAGCTCCCA